ACCCTATTTACGCACTTTTTTTTTGCATTTCAGTGTCTAGCGTTTTATCCGTTCGTGTTTGCTTTCTTTGTATAAAAATAAACAGAACAAACGTGTTCATCAAGCTCTCCGCCGGCTTTCCCTGCTGCACTTCACCCAAACAGTTTGTGACATATGTTCTCTTCACTAGGAGGGGGACACGATGAACAGTGGGCAACTGTGACTTATGATAAATCCTGAGGGAAGTGGCTGATAAAAGTTAATAATTGTTATTTCAAGTAGCCTTGTCCATTGCGTAAATTATTCATGAGAACGTGTGATAGTTGGACTAAGCAGTTTTACTGGCACCTATACTGTCTTTAGCTGGGATTCCTTCAAACCCACCATAACAACGTCTTCACAGTGGCTTTATTTACAATGTTCTACTTGCGTCAAGTACACTTTTATTCTGTAAATGAACAGCATACCTGTGAAGAGGTGGCCCTGCTAGTAGTGGTGGAGTTCTACACAGTACCCAAGACTAGTCTGGTGGTAGTTGTGGGTTTTTATACAGTACCCAGACCAGTCTGTGTGTTAAGTTGGACCATTGGAGAACAGGGCTACTGTCAATATCCGTTAATCCTCTCAGAAAGATTTCCATGTTAGTTCAAAGATTTAAACTGTTCAAAATCAACTGCCTTTAAATACTAGGCCTTGAAATACAGTGGAAAGCTTTGGTTCCAGGTGACAATAGTGATATAAAAGTATTGAACATTGTTTAATCTTCTAGTTACCTTGCCTTTAGTTTGTGACAGATGTGTGCAATGATGATGGTTCTGCTGGGTTCTTTTCATATTAGAAACGGACCAGAACAGTTTGCCTGGAATTATTACATTTTTATTTTCTTGCATACTAGGGTGAAATACCGTTTCAGGATGGCAATTCGGCCTCTGTTGCTGCCACCATGTCTATTTAATGGGCCTATCTTCAGTGTCACCTTTCTAGCTTTAAAGATATATTTAACTATTTTTATGGGACTAGCATGCTGCTATTCTCTAAATTCAGGATGTGAAATAAAGTCAGCAAGATCTTTGACATTTTCTGGGTCCACGTACAACTTTCTACAGCAATCTTCAAACAAGGTTATATTATTTGTGAGATAATTTTAGCTTTGATGCATGTGTGGTGTTTTTCATGCTTATTTTTTTTTGTCGCAATGTTGCGATGTTACAATGTTGTTACAATGTGTGTTGTTTCTGATGTAACTCACACTGCATGTTGCTTCAGAGTGGTCGACAGACCTATTGGCTCTATAGTGAGTAGATGAGTGGTGGGTACACTGGCATTGTTCTAGAGCACTGTGACAGTGTGTCAGACTGAAATCCCTCTGGGAACAGAAATGAACCATAAACACCAGTGCACCCAATATCACTCTAACCTTTATTCTGAATTCTACTCAAATACTTTCAGACAGTGAGTGCTATTTGACTTTGCGTGGTGTGTTGAGAAAATTCTAAAAATATGGCTTTTTCTTTTGTAGTCTGGGATTATCCCTGCAAAAGGAATGTTTCACTTTTAAAGATTTGACAAGTTCAATGGGTACAATCCTGTTCATGAGGAAATTATGAATTGAACTTTGTTTTACAGTCTTGGTCAAAGCCATTAGCCAGATGGCAGTCCTTCCTGAAGACTCATTCTGCCGTTCTTTCCATCTTTTATTCTCTACCAGACAAGATATGTGACCAGATTAGTGACGCCGTTCTGGATGCTCACCTGAAACAGGACCCAGATGCCAAGGTCGCCTGTGGTGAGTAAGGGTGTGTGGGTTGGGGTACAGTTAAATAACGCACACAGGACACTATAATGTACAGTGACTGGGACAGACACTAAAACAGAATGCGGTCAAGGGAAGCACACCGAAAATAAATTGCTAACATCACAAGCATAACACCATTTTGTTACTGCTAAGGATTTCTGTCCTTTGTTTCATCTCAAACCCGTTGATATTCTCTCAAATCATTTCCCAACAGTGGTCCCCGGCTTAAACCCATCTGGGATAAACCCATTGAACCCAGAATGGGATGCTGGCCCAATGGCACACGTGTACACCCTACTCTAATGTACTGTTTGTCTACTAACACTATGAATTCACAACTCTGTTCTTGTTGTTTCTGCCCATTCTTAGGTACAGTTCTAAACGTTTTAAACACTCTCAGACAGAGTACAGGTTCACTTGAAGAGATGAAGTCTCTCTTGCCATTTGACTTAACTATTATGTCATAGGTTATTGTAATATACTGCAAATATTCTAGTTAGCCTAGTGAGGTTCAGGCATTTGTAATATGATAATTTGTATTCATTGTAATCATTAAACCAGGAGCCCCTGGAATTGTATATTATTGTAAAGTGAAATTATACTTGTAAAAACCCATCTCATATTTCAGTATTGGAATACTAGTCTTTGTAATGGCAATTCTAAATGAACTTGGGTATAAAGAGTCCCATACTGAGATAACGGACCTTAAACTTCAGTGAACAGGGTATGGCTATAAAATATTTCAAGAGCCTTATCAAAATGCTTAATAAAGCCTAGATTCGGCTTCCATTACAAACATACAATATGACAAAGAACAGAAGACAGGGTGATGAGAAGGTCATTAGTTAATAATGCCATCTGTAATTAAATCTGCTTCAAACTACGCCTAAAAACACCCAGGAGATTCTGTGGGCATGTGACAAAGTCTTTTATGCTCGGACAAATTGAACTTTTTGTTATCAACACGAAGCGTTATCTAGCACAGCTAGCAACTCATAGAGATAATGTCTCTCAGACTCTCATACAAGTGGAAATAAACAGAAAAAATTACAGAAAAGACCTAGAGGGAAAAACAGTAGTTTTGTGCCATAAAACTGGGATGAAAGTTCACCTTTCAGCATGACAACAACCCAAAGCACACAGTCGAATGTCCAGTGAAGTGTCCAAGGAATCAAATAGTAACTGTTGTCGAATAGCCCAGCCAGAGTACTGACCGTTGTCCAATAAAACGTTGTGCCTTAACTTAAACACTGCTATCCAATGAACTTGACAGAGCGTGAAATGTTTTGTAAAAAACGTGGTCAAATATTGACAAATCTAGAAATTACAAATTACTTGCCAAAGGTCCTTTTTAACAAGTATTAACTCACAACAAGGGAGGCCGATCCAATTCTGGTAAAAAATAAAAATCCCTTGAAAGTGTGGAGTACAGTGTAAGGAAGGCCTATTCTGAGTCATTCACTTGACGTGAAGAAGAGCGTGTAATGAAGTTAATATAAGCCCTGTATTTACAAAGTATTGTATGTTATTGTTATTAAGTAAGTATTGCAGGGTATTGTATTGTAATTTGTAATTATAAAGTATTGTAGGCTATTGGATTGTAGTTATAAAGTATTGAAGGGTATTGTAGATGTAAAGCATTGTAGGTTATTAATATGTTAATATAGTTCTATAGTTGTAAAGGTCATGTCTCATGTTTCCTCTGTGTAGAGACGGTGTGTAAGACAGGCATGGTGCTGCTGTGTGGAGAGATCACGTCTCGGGCCAACGTTGACTACCAGAAGGTTGTTAGGGATACAATAAAACACATCGGCTATGACAACTCAGAGAAAGGTCAGAAACCTACCAAGCTTTAGAGTTAGAAAAATGTTTTTATGTCAAAAACATTCTATAATTTCCCTCTCCAACCTTCCAACATTCTTCTCTCTTTCTTCTTCATCCTCCATCCTCTCTCTCTCTCCCTCTCCTCTCTCTCCCTCTCCCTTTCCCTCGCACCCTCCTCCCTCTCTCCATCCAGGTTTTGACTATAAGACATGTAATGTGTTGGTGGCTCTGGAGCAACAGAGTCCGGACATTGCTCAGGGTGTCCACGTAGACAGAAAGGAGGAGGACATGGGAGCAGGAGACCAGGGCCTGATGTTTGGATATGCCACAGATGAGACAGAGGAGTGTATGCCCCTCACCATCGTCCTGGCTCACAAACTCAACTCCAAAATGGCCGAACTCAGGCGCGACGGAACAATCCCATGGCTCCGCCCCGATTCTAAAACGCAGGTTAGACCGAGGGAATTGACCAATTAACATTCTCTATGTTTTTCTCCATCCAATGTGTGAGATGATGCATAGTGTCGGTGGGCATGTTGGATTCTGATAACTGAATCAGTGCAGGACGGACCTGGTCCTTAACACACACGCACACACACACACACACACACACACACTTAAACTTGATCCAGGACTCCCCTGAACAACGATCCCATTGGGAAGCTGCAGTATCCTATGAGTCCATGGATCTGTTTTTATCCCAGGGTGGGAATGTGTTAACCCCTACTGACCCGCTGTAGTGAAACTAGTCAGGAGCAAAGACGACCACCAGTGGTCTTGTCAATCACAGCAAAGAATCTGGTTTTACAATAACTCCTAATCCCTTATATGAGCTTTTATCTACTCTCACTGGACTGTATACCATGATGTAAGGAGTAGATGATTTCACTAATGTGGCAGAAGGTGGACCTAACAAACCTTAATAAAGGTTTTCAACTCTGAGTCTAGGGACACCAAATACTGCTAGTTTTCTTGTCTAAATGGGATGTAATTGTATTAACCCAGAGGAGTTGGTGTGTCTCAGTGGTTGAGTACATGCTTTGTATGTATGATGTCCTGGGTTCCTATTGGAAGAGTTGGTGGCTCAGTGGTAGAGTGCATGTGTGTATGTATGATGTCCTGGGTTCCTATTGGAGGAGTTGGTGTGTCTCAGTGGTTGAGTACATGCTTTGTATGTATGATGTCCTGGGTTCCTATTGGAGGAGTTGGTGTGTCTCAGTGGTTGAGTACATGCTTTGTATGTATGATGTCCTGGGTTCCTATTGGAGGAGTTGGTGTGTCTCAGTGGTTGAGTACATGCTTTGTATGTATGATGTCCTGGGTTCCTATTGGAGGAGTTGGTGTGTCTCAGTGGTTGAGTACATGCTTTGTATGTATGATGTCCTGGGTTCCTATTGGAGGAGTTGGTGTGTCTCAGTGGTTAAGTACATGCTTTGTATGTATGATGTCCTGGGTTAAATCCCAAGCTTCTCCCCAGGTCGCTGTTGCATATGCACCTACCTGGTTAAAAATAAAGAAAAAACTGCTGTTCCTGGACAAAATATGTTCTAAAAGACTAGAATAAAAGTAACATTTAATTTTGACTGTTGCTGTAGATGCTCTATACTAAACTAACTACAAACCCTAAACTTAATCTTTATCCAAAACCTAATCTTCACCCTTAACCTAAATCTTTTTTTCTAAACCAAGCCCAGCAGATACTTGTAAAATATCAACAAACAGAAATGTGTTGATATTATTACTATGGTTAGAACTTCTACAGTTGGAAATTGGGAGAAATAAGGTGCAACAGAATAAAGATCAGCAGTAATTTGGGACCTAGGTTCCTGACTCCCAGTTCCCTAAAAATGGAATTACGTTGGGAGAAGAGGAATGGAGCTGCAATGGGACCAAAATCCAATGTATTCCTTTCATAGGCCGCTGTAACCTTATCTGCAATTTGTACGTTCTTGAGATTCTTCTAAAGTGGAAGTGAAGCCTCCTGTTTTAAGGGCAGAGGCATGGCTCAAAATAGGTTACTTGTAAGCGGGGGGTTACATTCAGACATTAGGGTTGTCGAAGTTGAACTCCATATATGTGTCTCTCTTTGAGGTGATCAATTTCCTAGCTTGGAACCACCCATTCATTGATTGATAAATTGTTTGGTCATAACAGCAATAAAGTAATATAAAAGACGTCTATCTGAACAGAGGCCCTTAAAACAGTATTGATTTCCAATATTACAGGCAGGTTTCTCAACTTCAGGAGCAAAAGAAAGAAAACAAAGACAACATATTTCATGTTCTCCACTTTTCTCCCACGCTCCTCCCTCTCTCTTCTCTTCCATATCCCCCGCTCCTCCCTCTCTCTTCTCCTCCATATCCCCTGCTCCTCCCTCTCTCTTCTCTTCTTTTCTCCCCCGCTCCTCCCTCTCTCTTCTCCTCCATATCTCCCGCTCCTCCCTCTCTCTTCTCTTCTTTTCTCCCCCGCTCCTCCCTCTCTCTTCTCCTCCATATCTCCCGCTCCTCCCTCTCTCTTCTCTTCTTTTCTCCCCCGCTCCTCCCTCTCTCTTCTCCTCCATATCTCCCGCTCCTCCCTCTCTCTTCTCTTCTTTTCTCCCCCGCTCCTCCCTCTCTCTTCTCCTCCATATCTCCCGCTCCTCCCTCTCTCTTCTCTCCTGTCTCCCCCTGTTGCTCCCTATCTCCTCACCTCTCCTTCCGCAGGTGACAGTGCACTACAGGCAGGAGGGCGGAGCAGTGATTCCTCAGAGGGTTCACACCGTGGTCGTTTCTGTCCAACACGATGACTTCATCAGCCTGGAGGAGCAGAAGCAGGTCCTCAAGGAGAAGGTAAGGTGCACCTGGCAGTAAGCTTGGATGTTTTCAACAGTTAGAAAAACCATCCCCGGAGCTGGTCCTCATTTAGAGGTTTCGGGTTTCACTGAATCCATTATGCTATATCAGAGGTTCTGCTGATATTATCACACATTATCAAAAAGGTTCCATACAAACGGGATGTAAACCTGTCTCCTGTTAGGTGATCAAAGCCGTGGTTCCGGCTAAATACCTGGACGATAAGACCATCTACCATCTGCAGCCGAGTGGCCGATTTGTCATCGGAGGACCCCAAGTGAGTGTCAGAAGTGCAGAAATAAGTTCTCTCACCTCCTCACGTGCAGAAACACACCGCAACAGGACATTAGAAAGCCCCAACACATAATATGAGCGATTCCTCTTCTCCCAGGGGGATGCTGGAGTGACGGGCAGGAAGATCATTGTTGATACGTATGGAGGCTGGGGGGCCCACGGCGGGGGAGCTTTCTCCGGGAAGGACTTCTCCAAGGTGGACCGCTCGGCTGCCTACGCCGCACGCTGGGTCGCCATGTCTTTGGTCAAGGCTAAACTGTGCCGGAGGGTGTTGGTTCAGGTATCTCTACATTGTTCTCCTGGTCTCCTTGTACTCCACTTGATAGGATTTGATGATAAATTATGATAAATTACAAACCAAATGTGATTTTCGTTTCAGACTGAGCAGATCCGCTTATCACTGTTGACTTCATGTTGTCACACTTTTGTAGCTTTCTGACAGCCGCCATTTTGTCTGTGTGACTGAGTAGGTGTCCTATGCCATTGGAGTGGCCCACCCCCTGTCCATCTCCTTGTTCACCTATGGCTCATCACAGAGGTCGGAGAAGGAGCTGCTGCAGATCGTCAACAAGAACTTTGACCTAAGACCCGGCGTCATTGTCAGGTAAATGCCTCACCTTCATCTCCAACTTGTTGTCATCTAAGGACAATGCTTCTAACCCAACAATCATGAAACTTTGACACATTGATTATCGTATCCGGGTTTGTTAATGCCACCTGCTTTGTGTGAATTGCTCGGGGTCGCAGTGCATCTAATCTACTTATTAACATTTTGTGTTTAAAAATCAAATATGTTTATCTAAAAACAAAGTGTGTGTTCATACGCTGTGGCAGATGTGTCATTGTCTTTCCACAGGGAACTAAACCTGAAGAGACCAATATACCAGAACACAGCTTGTTATGGACACTTTGGCCGAAGTGAATTCACCTGGGAGGTCCCCAAGGTGCTTGAATACTAAACGGACCATGTTAGTCGGATAACAATAATTCAGCACTACGACAATAGAAACTACTAAACATGGGCCAGAGTCAAATATAAAAGCAATACGGCACCAGAGGTTGTGTTGTATTATGAATACAGTCACAGATAAATGACCCCCGGCCAGACAAAGTTACACCTTTGGAACGGCTGTCTCAGACATCCCAACTCTCCCAGGAGGTCCGGGAGTCTCCTGCATTTTTCATAGCGACTCCCTGACGCCCGCTAATTACATACAATATCCAGATACAGTTCACCGGTCAATTTCAATGCAATACGGAGAGGCTGGGAGAGCAGTGACAGACATGGTGATAGTGTCACAGCGCACATCCTGATTGGTCTCTCTTAGTGCTAACTAACCTCTAACCACTAAGATGATCACTTTTTTCGGTAGGCGGGCTTTACAGTCGGCCTCTCCCCAGTTCATAAATCAGTATCAGTTCAGGCTAGTGTCTTTAGCGCCATGGCAGAGTGTCCAAATACAAAAAGATGTACAAACCACACTTCACGCAAGACTACACTGAAATGTACCCATCTGTAATAGGGGTAAACAACAATTACGCTGTAGCAGAGATTTCTCCACTGCCTATTTTGGGTTAAATTACTGTAAAATACACGCTTATGTGCTTAGCTTAGCTAACTTTTTTTTTTACTATATTCATGTCTAGGCAATGAGGCCTACTAGAAAAGTAGTTATTGAATGAAAAAAATCACTTGATGACTTGAATAATTCTAGTACTATAATATAGCATAATATAAAACGGAACAGTGAACGTATATTTGATGTCACATTTTCTGCATATACCCAACTAGATTAGGTGAAATCACAAAAAGAATGTACGTATGTAATCTGTTAGTTCTGAATCATGTTGGTTGAAAGTTAATTTCATGTATTTGCTTGAACAAAGATTATGTGCTGGTATTCATTAAAGACGCACTAGAAAGTGCAAGTTTATTCAGTTAAAAAACAATGAATTCTAGAAACACAGCCTTGTTGTGTTCTAAGCGCATTTATCTGCTTGCCAACGTCAGATAATGCAAAATATCAGGCGATCTAATTTGAACGTGCAGTTTATGCTATAACAAAATTGTCGTTTGGGAGTGAAATTAGCAGACTCTCGTGTAAAATAATACACTAGAAGAGCCTCGGAATGACCATCCGTCAACCCATTTACCTGTGACTGTATTCATGATACTGTCTCGCATGACTTCTTGCTTTCATGACATAAAACAGTGACGAGTAATGCTTAGATCAACACTACAGTAGCTACTATAATAAAACTTGTGGTTGCATACAATACGTGGTTCGGACAGCTACGTGACATAATCAAGTTATTATGGACAATGACTGTCATCATGTTTAGATGGATCTGTAAGCAGCATGACTGCAAACATCGTGGGTTTGATGAATGTGTTTTAAATGATTCAGTTTCTGAAAGACACATTGTCTGTTTGTCTGTTCTGAATCAAACAGAAAAATACAATTGAAGCAACCAAACAATTCGAAGCAGATAGTAATCAATTAAATTAATCATTTCTATGAAATTGTAAGACAGAGCTTTTAGCCACAGAACTGTGAATAAACTGTGTATAATATATGTCCATTTTACCCCAAGATAGTGCTTTAAATCAAATGTCATCATCCATAAAAGGGGAATATGTACGTATCAGTAAGTTTAAACAAATAATTTTAATCAACCACAGTATCAAAAAAACTTTTTAGGAGGGTTTATAAATCCAAGCTAATGTTAAATGAGAGATCACTCTTTATGGTGCTTTGATTTTTTCATCATTTGTAACTTTTGAAGACTAAATCCACACAACGTTTTTCTTTAGAAAATGTCTACATTACTTGATGATATTCTTTTTTTTACAGCGCATTACCAATACCAAAACACAGGTCCCTTATCCCAGGGAGGTATTGGGAAACATACTATACCTCTTATCAGTTTGCATTTGCAATTGACCAAATCTAGCAGTAAATGCATTTCAGAATAACGTTTTACAACCATTTACGTGTTCTACTGACATCTGCAGATCTGCTGGTATGTGTCTCACTTTGAACAATGTTTCCTGCTATGAATGGTGACCATTTGAACTATGGCTGGTAGACAGACAATACGGTTTAATTTATTAAGTATTTTGACTTAATTGTTGTGATTATTTTGCATTGAATAGTTTATTAATAGATTGTCAACCAAGCCGACTTGCTGCTTACTGAAGGTATATTTCTTCTGGACCACTAACATCTGAACATTTCTGTATTTATATAATTGTATATGTTTGAGGTGGTGCTTTCTGAGGACAATAATGTTGAGCTTGCCAAACAAAAATACAAGATGTTTCTTGATGTTAATGTCCGTCTTCTTA